TCATCGCCTGATCAAAACTAGCAGTTTAAAGTCGAAACGTCGCGATTTACATCTCATATGAGTGTAGCATGAGAAAAGCCATGATACATTTAATTCTTAAAAATATTTTTAGCCTTTATAGGACCATGGGCCTCGCTATTAAGTTCTGCGGAGGTTTTCATGTGGAGAGGAAAATTTCAGTGAGTTATTTTTTTTTATAAATATGACTAGATTTTGTTGGCCTGCTGATTGAGTCGCACAAACTGTGTACATGGCGCGAGAGGAAATTAAAGCGACGGGTTGGAAAAATGAGAAATTTCCCCTTAGTAAAAAGAGTTTAGTTAATTTGGGAAACATATCGCCGTTTGATTGTTGTAAACCAGGAGTTAAACATTATTTTATTTGATAAGTGGGTTTTTGCTCCACTCCACAAAAATATAAAGAACCTACATGAAGCATCTTTCTCCTAGCCAATCTCTGCATTTTCCGTAAGTCGTATAGCTACCAGTATGACTTGAAATACTGTTATGTTCTTTCCTAGTCTGATGAATCCTGCTAAATAAAGAACGTTTCTTTTTTGTTATATATCAGTCCTCGCTTATAATGATATCGAAATCATAATTTCTTCAATTAATATTTTCGTTTTGAAAATGACAGGTTTCAGAAAGGAAAATGAAGTGTATGTACAATTCAATACGATAGTTGCTCATTGTTGTTATATACAGATAAAAACATATTTTTTAAAGGAAAATCAAGATTACACGAGGAACAGTATACCGTTTCTTAATTTAAAACAATGTGTATCAGCTTTTACTGGGGCTAAAGACTCTGGAAATCTCGCTGAAACTGGAAAAACAAAAAAACAAATTGAAGAGCTCCAGCTACAGATGGCTTCGTATTTAGAAGACTATGTAATAAGCAACCTGTCATAACGCGTTATCAGTTTTAATTACCCTGCATCCAATATATCAAAAAATTTATTATTTTTTTATGTGTGGTAATTAAATAAAAAGAACATAGGGGTGTGCGATGATACACGCAGTCGAACTTCCTCAAGACCTTTCAAGTTCTTCTCCTATACTTCAGTTTAGTTACGTGTGTACACAGGCGTTGCTTTCCACACGACGAAATTGCATATGCCAAAATATCGAGCGAAGTTTGAAGTTTGAAACAAAGAAAAAACAACACCAGGCGTCTGTAATAAACATCTGCCGGTAGAAGTGTCATCTATCACTAGTGTGCGATTGGTTGCCTAAAACCGTATTTTGTAATGCTGCCATGGGCCAGTGTTAATTATCCAAAAGACGCCAAAAGTGCGTTTCATCCACCTTGGTCCTCACAATCTGCAGATGGCGTTTTTGCGATCAATTTATACTTAGTACAAATTAACTCATTTTTTCGGGTTTGACTGCTGTTAAAAACCCCTCTGTGTTTCAATTCATCATGGAATCGGCTGCGCTGAACTCAAACTTGTCAGAAAAAAAGACAGACATAGTGTGTTATAACATGAACGCTGACTACTTCAAAACTGGCGACTTTCTCGACTGGTATATCGCTAACTCCGTGCTCTGCGCAATCTTAGCCATCGCCACAACAATGGCAAACTTGTGCATTCTTATAATCATCTGGAGAACTTCCTATCTACACACACCTTCAAACGTCATTCTTTTTTCCCTCGCGCTGTCTGATCTTGGTGTCGGTTTATTGGCTCAGCCAGTGGCTGTGGTTAACACCGTGGCTAAAATCCAAGGACTCATCAACACGGCTTGTATTTCTGGAGAAGCTGTGGCTGCCTTATCGACTTATCTATGCGGTGTGTCTTTGTTAACCGTCACGGCAGTGAGTATTGATCGATATCTGGCGCTGCATCTTCACCTCAGATATAAACAATTGGTAACAAATAAGCGCGTTATAGCACTGCTCGTTTTGACATGGTTGCTCGTGGCTCTTGTTTTACTAACGTGGTTGTGGTATCCTCGGTTTATCTTAGGCTTAGGTATAGCTGTTGGCTGTATCTGTATTCTTATCACATCCGGTTGTTTCTTTCGTATCTACCTGGTTTTGCGATATCACTTTAGGCAAATCAGTATCCAGACCCATCCTAAGACTGAGAATCAGGAATCAAATGAAGCACTCAACTTGACACACTACAGGAAATCAGTCTTAGGCATGTTCATGGTTTATCTCGTCTTACTGTTCTGTTATCTCCCTTACCTCAGCGTGGCTTGTGTGGTGGCGGTACAAGGCATTAACACAACCAATCGGCTTTTGTTCGAGCTGGCGAGAACTCTTGTTTATGCGAATTCTGCTATTAATCCTTTCATATACTGTTGGCGTCTCCAAGATATAAGAACCGCCGTGTTACAACGTTTGCCTTGTGTTTAACGATTGACCTTCATCGATAGTCTAGGCTTGCACCATTTGTCCGGTCTTTCTTGCTTAAGGAACCAGTTCCCATTGCCGTTTGCAGAGTCGGGCATAAGGCCAGCAATCCTACAACTGCAATCATTTTTGCAATTCCGGTTTCTGCACTGCGCCAACTTCTTCGCGAATTCGATTGCTATGGGCGCCCACCGTCAACTAGATCGTGGAGATCGTTCTGCGTTTTAACAATAGAACTGGTTAGCTTTTAATATTTTTGTTGAACATTGTAATTTTTTTTTTCAGCAAGGGTTTTCCTGAGGAAATATTCGATTATTATTAAGAGTGAGTACAAATAAATATTAAAAGGTTGAGCTCATGATTAGTTCAACCAGCCAGGAAACAGGTTTATTGAGTGGTGTGTACCAGACTGGTACGAATTGCTTATTGGTACTAGTAAAGGACATTAAACGCTCTGATCTGTTTTATACAGCCAGCGATTCCAAATAACATGATTGCTCTTCCGTACGGCACACTAACAAACACCCTGACACCCTGCTACTGAATAGCCTACTCGGATGTATCAATCTGCTTTCCTTGTCTCGTACTCATCGACAGGTTCGTCATATAAACACCTGCTTAAGGTAATTCCTCTGAAATAAAAGTGACAATAGATTTTTGTTCAAACTTTGTCAACTGAATGTTTGTCATATGATAACTTCAATTTTGAAATAAAAAGGGGGGGTGCCCATGCTCATTAAGGAGCAGTGAGGCATTGAAAATGCCCCATTTTGGCATTATTTAATGCTTATTATAAAACCGCATTCCCAGTAATTGTAAAATCTTTGTGAGCCCAGGCTCATAAGAAAACGCATTAAACTACAGTCAATACATTGTGTCGGACACAACTAAACATTTTAAGTTTGATTCAGACAAAAAGCTAAATCCTTGATTAAAATTTGAACTACATTTCTTGACGTGGCTACCGACTGCAAAATAGAAAAGACCACAGTGTATCTGCTATTTTTCTTATTTATTAAATTTTCAGCAATAGAATTTACATCAGTCTTTTCTCACGCGAAGCTTATGATTAGTTGATTACAATGACTGGAAAAAAAATTGGGGTGCTCGTGCTCGTTGGTGAGCTAGAGCCATTTTTCAACTGAAAGCTCAATCAAATCCGTCATGTTTTCAATATGCGCGTGCACGAGCGCGCGCTAATGACGCCATAAATTATGCGCAGTAAGGATGCGCAGTGCAAATGTGAGGAATGACCTTAAAAACAGGAAATTTCAAACCATGGCTTTCATGTGATACCATGGCTCTTGAATAAAGCGGAGGAATTACATCATTTACTCTTAATTAGATTTAAATACAAACAGAAACCCAAGTCATCCCCCGATCAGGGTTGCGACACGCGTTCATGCAAACATCGTGCGCTCTCAACTTATTTTATTGCTCTCTATTGAATTCGCACCTCCGCAAAGTTTTGATAATGGCCATCGAGTGTTTTCTTGCTTTCCATGCATAATAATAATAATGCATAGACAGACGATTTCCATTCCCGTGTACTTTTAGCTCGTTTACCGAGAGAGTGATGATAACTTTCCGTCAATGGTTAAATAAAAATCTTATCCAACCATCATTGTTCAGTTATTGACAGCCACTGTGGTCATTCTCGTATTCGTCGATTTTTAGCTGAAGTAGCAATTGTATTTATGCATGAACCCATGACCCATGGGCTCCTAATTTATGCATTTACCCGGCTATTTTGTCTACCTTATCGTTTTTTTCTTTTTATAGAAAAGCCCAATGAAAGCTCAGTATTTTTTTTTTTCAGCTTTCAGTATGTATGCACCTATTGGCAAGTCTGTGCCACCAGAGTATATACCTTGGAATCCGTAGAGAAACATCAACATCCCCATGCATCCTTTTTTTCCAAGAGCCCATCAACTGGTTTTTTTTTTTTACTCTATTTTTTAAGTATTTCTACGGTAAATATGTGGTGTGTGAAGGTGACCAGCATTTGTGTGTATTTTGCGTCTGATATGTGAAGAAGGTTATCCGAGGATTCATTAGAGCTTTCCGCTTCACCCCGACCCACCCCTCCGCTCCGCGCGTCGCGATAGATCGCGGTCGCGCAAGGGGACCGAGTGCTAGAGCTTAGTCTCTCATCAGCTATTCAAACAAACAAAAATTGCCACGCACCGGAGATCAGAGAGTGACCCTGATCCGTCCTGTTTTTTGCTCATATTTGATGCCTTTTACATTATATTTTTCCTTTTTGAGTCACGACCTGTCTAGATGGAATGACTTTAGCCAGGAGTGAGAGAGAATGGGCCATTCTCGTGAACGAAGTAAGTGGTTTTCATTGCAAATCAGCTGAGCTATGCCCATGGATCCTTCGGCATATACATTGTAGGAAGCGAAAAATAGCGCGAAAAACTGCCTCGTACAACCACTCTATTTTATTTATCGTTTTTCTGACTTAAATTTAAAACCTAGTGCATTCAGACCGTCGAAATAAGCGGGAATTGTAACGTTCGTAGATGTATGAATGCCGAATGACTACAATTATAAATTCCCTGAGATGTATGCATTTTGAATATTCTTACCTTTCGTGTAAAAAAATTATGTCACGCTTAGCTAGGTACACAGCTTAAAGCTACTCTGAGATGTTGCGAGCCTCTAAAATTATAATGGGAATTTTGTTGTTTAGCTTTTCTTCCCTTTCGGTGTAATGTACATTTATTCACTATTTACAGTACGGTTTAGTTCACGTTGAGAAAGATAACATCAGAATATTGTCTGTATCAACAGCTGTCTGTGACCACAGATTTAAGATTTTGCCTTTTAAATCAGGTCAAATTAAAATTGCAGAAGTTAATTCACATAAATTATGCAGACATGGCCCGTCATTTTCTTGTGTTCTCATATTTTAACCTACTGCACAGATCTTTCAATAATACGCATGCGCTGAGGTTCCAAACCTAACTGACTCTTGCGTTTTTTGGCTGCTGACAATCATGTTAAATTACATTGTTATACCTCCCAACTCAAATACGTTTTCCAGTTGGAGGAGAATGTGTCACAAGTCATGGGTCAAAACTCGCTAACTCCCTAGGGCAAACAAGACTTACGAACTCCTTAGGGAAACAACAACTTTAACTTTAGACTCGCTTGTGATCAGGTCATGCTCCTTGAAACCGTGGCAAATTTGTGAGCCAGCTTTGAGGTTAACTTCTGTTTCCTAAAGGTTGGTTTTCACTAGCGACGGAGTCAGAGTCAAAGTCTGAGTCATAAGAGAGCTTACGACCTAGTGAAAATCGAAAATAAGAGTCATAAGCGGAGTCATGAGCTCGACGGAATCAAAGGCAGAAGAATCAGAGTGTTTCATTTTCTTCTGATTCCAATGCTTATGATCCAGTGAAAACTAGATTGTTGCAGTCAGAAGCAGAAGCAGAAGAACCAACCAATCACTAGGCCCGGAATCAAAAATTGTGATTGGTTTATTCTTCTGCATCTGCTTCCGGTTCCGAAAATCTAGTTTTCTTTAGATCGTGAGTGACAGGGTCGTAAACAGAATGGGTGTTCTGCTTCCAACTCCATCAGTTTGATTTTCTCTAGATCATATCGCTCTACATTTCTTATTACGATTCCGACTACAACTCCATCGCTATTGAAAACCAGCCTTAAAAGGTCTGCTAAGATGATTGACAGGAGAGCAGAATTCATGGGGAATTATTGAAAGGCACAGAATTTGAAAGCCTCACTTAAAAAGTATACAGTAAACAATTACCTTTTAAGCATGGATGTACATGATTAGGTATTGTTTAACCAATATTTTGTTGAGTAATGAGTTAGGAATTCATTAATATTGTTTCACAGTGTGTCTGAGTTAACATTTTCCATTCTGTTCATCTCAACAACTAGAGTATTTGAAATTTAATAAGTAGTTTGTGACTATGTTCTGCATTTACTCTTTAATATTGTCTAAACATTAGGGGAAACTGAACATAAACTAATAAGGATTGGATATTTGTATTACCCAGGAATGCGATATGTTACAACACCAATTTCCGCTCTACATGTATTTTCTGTCAAGTGGTCTCACACAAGGTTAAAAACAAAATTAAAATAATTTCAAACTTCTTAAGCTCTAAAAGTGGTTGTGGTTGCTTACAGGAGGTCCCAAATGATTTATATTATTTGACTGGCAAACTTTTGGTATTTTTGAAACTTGTCGCTGAGGAGAGGTGGTTGCTTACAAGAGGTGGTCACAACTGGAGGTTCCACTGTATGCCGCTATAAAAACTTATTAAAACTATAAAAAACCCTCACATGTAATTCTGTTTGCTGTTGTCTGTATCTCTACATCTTTTTTCAGTATAACATTTGCAAGAAGAAATTAAACAGTAAAAGAGAGGCTCTGAAGATTCTGACAAGTGACTTGGAACTGTGCCAAAGGGAGAGGGACATTTATAAAACAAAGATTAAACAATTGGTAAGTTAAAAATTGGTCCAAAATAGACCATATTTGTATTCTCAGTATTGAACTGGAACTAGCTTACAATGAAGACTCACGCAGGAGAAAACCATTAAAAGGGATGGAATGTCATTTGCATATGACAAGATGCCTCTCATTAGCCTCAATTGTTAGCTAACTACCATAGTTCCAGTCTGATACCAAGAATATGAATATAGTCTATTGTTGGGCATTCCCATGGGGCCATAAACAAGTATGGGGAGTATTTAAGAGCAACGATGATGTCATTACCATTAATTAAAGGAGCACCTTACCTCAATTTGGCAAATATAAATGATGGAAAATTCATAGTGTTGGTTCATTTTCCTTAAAACTCATAATTTTTGCATTTTATGCTTTTACTGAAAGTTTCTCTGATCCTACAGCCAAGATGTTTTCTTTTTTTTTTCTCTGCTTGGGCAGGAAACAGCCACCAGTGAGTGTCTTAAATGAAAAGTGAGATAATGTTCCAGATCAAAACAGTAGCAAGAGAACGCTCAGTTTACCCTTCATGTTTCAACTGTAGCATGATCAATTAAGAATAACCTGTTGATAAATGTAATTTACTTATTTAGTTAAAAGAGGTTGAGGATTACAAGCGTAAAGAAAGAGAACAGCTAGTTCCAAAATCAAGTCCTTCAACGCCTGTTAAAAAGGTACAGGTATGTGAATTTTCAAAGTGTACAATGTACATGTATCTTTTGTATGTTCTTGTCTTGCTATCTTACTACATGAGCAGTCATATTTGGTATGTTGTAGTCTGTAGTTTTCTTTTGCACTAGCTGACATCTTTTGTCTGCTAAAAAGTGTTTTTAATTGATCATTCAAAATTATCTTGTTGTTGATAGAGAGGAGCATCATTTTCTGGCCACAGTGTGTGGGAACAAGAGCTTCAAAATGTCAGAGAGAGGAAACAAAAGGTAAGTTTAATGTTCCCTCGAGATATTAAGTTCACTTTTTGAATTAATTACTGTTATGTAATTTACACCAGGAAAGATGAACAGTTTAAGTTTCGTGTCATTAAGTTAATCAGTTTGGTGTACTGCTGTAGCTGTAATGATTCAACTACAATCCTGGACAAAAGTCGTGGGACAAATTTGCACTTTTAGCGCTTTTGCGCACATGCCATATGCAAATACTACTTCACCTGCCTAACCTCGCCCCCCACCCCCCATACAATGTTGAAAACTACTACTTACAATTTCTTCTGATTTTCAACATTGTATTGGGTGGGGAGGGGGAACAGTAACACGTTTTTAAAAGGAAAGCAGCACCCTTTTCAAACTTGAGTACTAAAACACAGATAATTTGTTAAATTACATAAGTGTCCCAAGGACTTTTGTCCATGATTGTAGGTAATCATTGCTATGTTGCAGTGCATTAACTGTAAATGGTTAGAGTGAAAGCTAAGCCTGTCATTGTCTCTCCTCATGCCACCAGGTGCCTGCTAGGCCTTTGTATTCTCTCTGCTTGGCTCTAGTCTCTTGCTTATATCTACATGTACAAGGTTTCTGGTGTCTGTAAATAGCATAATATTTAATAAGCCCGAGCCAGTGGGGTACTCTTGATTAATTCCTCTAATGTGGTTGCTCTCCAAGACTTCTAAGTTTTCATCCTCCCATGGCTGCAAGCTCTATTCACCAACACAAGTGTTTTAGGGCACCGCTACACACCCACCCTTTGTCACAATTCTTCTACATTGTAGCAGGAAAATGGCTGTGTAATTTTTTGTTACATGTAGATGTCTGGCCATGTCAGAAGCATTTTCCAGAGATTAAGTCAGCTCATCTCCAAGCAGTACAAAAGTTGTATTGAAAGTACTGGGCTTCACACTAGAAGCTAAGTTAGTTTCAAGTAAGCACTTGACTCAAGTGCACTTGAAAATCTCAAGTCACACATAAAGTTGCTCAACAACACGTTTTTCGGCAAAGAAATTGCTGTAGGGCTTTAGCTAATCGTGAAAATGCATTTCCGTGTGACTAGTCCAATGTTCAACAGAGTTGTTTAGGTGCAAAGAAATAACCTGGTTGAAACTTGAAACAGCAGGTGGTTTGTAATTGTAAGAAGAGCACTTGGTGTCGAATGATATGAAAAGGGATGGTTTAGGCTGCCTATGGAATTGAAATTCAAGCAAGTTGTTTATCGGTCCGTTCATTAGAATTGTAGCAACACTGCACATCGCTTTCAGTTGCCTTCCATTTCCTATTGGTCATTCAAGTGTGTTCTCAAGTGTGGTGTAGACCATACTTGGTGGCGCACTTTAGCTTCTTTGATCTACGAACATTTCTGTGGTCACTAACTGAAGTCCAAGTAAGTACATTTTACCCCTTCACACACAAAGTAGGTTCCAAGTGCACTTAGATTATGCTTACAAGCTCTATTGTGAAGCCAAGTATTATTTTCATTGATAGTTCCATGATTGAATGATGTAATGTTTTCTCATTACCAAATTGTGAATCCCATGGCCTTTAACAGTAAACTTTGTTTATTTTCTATGGCCTGTGTCAGACCCTATCCCAGCTATTGTGTGAATCACGCGGGGAAAACAAAGCTCTGAAAAAAGACTTTGCTGAGTTGCGTCAACTGTACAATGATGCTCAGGAAGATATCCAGATCCTGCGTGAAGCACTGGCCAAAGAAAAGAACTGCAGCAGTAAAATAAAAGATGGTACAGATGGTATAGATCCACGTCAGGATCTCATTTCTGAGCTGGAAAAGAGCCAGGAGAAGGTTTGATGAGAATGTACAACTATTTACAGCCACATACAAATGTAACTCCCCTAGCCCATGTTTTCATTGGCCAATATTAATTAACAAATGGTAAACGCCATAGCGTGCACTATTGAGTTATGGATGCACTTGGGAGGTTACATATCATTGAGACATTGGAACAACAGAAGTCCTTTTATTGAGCTACATCACAAAAAAATGTTCGTGTAGTCTTACATGACAAGAGAAAACAAGTGCGTGAAAATTCATTCATGACAACCGACTGCACACCAGTAACTCGATAAAGTTTCATCTTCAGACAACTGAGAAGACAGTTTCGCATTTCTGGCAGAAGGACGTTGGTCATTACTTTGGAAACAATGTCTGTCAAAAGATTTGCTTTGTAAACATTAGCACACACGTCAG